GCTCAGCCCCATGGGGTGTCAGCCACCCCTCCCAGTGCTGGATCACCAGCAAACTGGCTGAGGGTACACCCTGTCCCTTCATCCAGGGCACTGATGAACACGTTGACACAGGATTGGAACCAGCTCTGAGCACTGAACACCACATGTGGGTGCATCCTATTGGGGCCCATGGACTTGTGGGTGTCCAGTTTTTGACTAAATGATCTCTAACCCAATTCTCCTTGACCAAGAGAGAGTCTGCCTTCCTCCAGACTTTCTCTCTTACCTTCAGGGGCTGGGATTCCTGGGAGCCAGCCTTAGCAGTACAGACTGAAGCACAGAACATTCAGGAACTGCCTTCTGTGTAGCCTCTGTCACCAGGGCACCCACCTCACTCAGCAGCAGGCTCACACTTTCTCTAGTCTTCCTCTTGCTGTTGTACTGGAAGCCCTTCCTTTTGCTGATGACATCCCTTGCCAAATTTAACTGCAAGTGGGCCTTAGCCTTCCTTGCTGCATCTCTGCATACCCTGACAACGTTCCTGTATTTCTCCCACGTGACCAATCCCTTTTTCCACATTCTGTAAAACTCCTTCTTCCATTTGAGTTTTTCCAGAAGCAACCTGCACATCCATGTGGGTCTCCTGTTTCCTTTGCTCGAATTCTTGCTCAAAGAAGTCTTGAGCTTGGTGAAAGTGGTGCTTAAATGTGTGAAGAAACGTAGCTTTGTTTTCAGTTTTGTTCTATCTAACTTCAATCTCAATAAGAATGTCCTGATAGACTTAATTTATATTTCCTCTGCCAGATTTCAAAGCAGAATCTGGAAGAGTCACTGATTTTAAGTGGGAAGACCAGCAAAAGGTAAAGCCACCTGAATATTCAGGTAGCTGCATGTTAATCTGAGAGTCACCTCTGCACTTCTTTATGCGAGACAACATTTGTTTTAACCTAAGTCTATTAAAATCAGACACAGACTATCTGCCCATGACAAGTGATATTTGCTATCAAGCTGTAAGTCAGATGTACTACTGCTTACCCACACCATACAAGTAACAGAACACCCCACAAAGTCTCCTTACCACTTGTTGTGCAATGTTGACATTAGACTGTCCGAATGTTTTTGGCAGGAGCTGTTTTCCAAGCGTATTTACTGTAGAAGGATGAACAGCCAATAGAGAAACAACCCCTAAAACAAATACAAGTAGATAGCTTCAGGTCAGCCACAGGGTATTACTTCAGCAATTGCAGTTTCATCTACACTACCAATGCATAGTAATAGAAACTAGCTCTGAATTGCACAGTGTCAATATAAAGGCAGCATTTACACATTTGAAGCACAAAACAAGAAATTAAAATTCAAGATATGTTCTCACAAACATTCTCCTACA